GTAAAATTCGAAATGCATCAGGGTCAATTACAATTTTACACATATTTGATTTTTTTACATTCCGTGTAAAACATTTCTGTGTAAAGAAGTCAGTGCAAAAGTCTTGGACCCGGACGTGACTTTCAATTTTGCACTGACATTTTTACACAGAAAGAGGCGGTGTAAAATATGTCAGCGCAAAAATCTTGTACCCTTCACAATATTCAATTTTGCACCAAAGAGTTTTACACAGAGTGACTTTTGCACCAAAGAGTTTTACACAGAGTGACTTTTGCACCGAGGGGGTTTACAGAGACAGTGTCTGTGTAAAAAAATTCAGTGTAAAAGTGTCAAACAACATGTGCAAAATCAAATTTTGCACCGTCAACATTTTACACAAGAAAATCAATTTTTACACATAAAACCAACATTTGCGCTGTAAGTACTATAGACAAAATAGAAGGAATTATAGAAACTCAGAGGGGGAAGAAAGAAATGAGACTTGCAGCAAAACAACCAGTAAAGAGTGCATGGGGGAAAAAAGAAAAATATCTGAAGATGAGCGAAGAGAAACAAAATGTAATAAGAAAGACAATGAGAAGAGAAACAAAAAGTAATTGTACATGTTCCCAGAGCTCGCGGAGGTACAGAGTAGTCCATTCAGTGGAGTGTGAGAATTCACAGGTGCAGGCTGGAGTTTCACAGTCTTGACATGTGGGAAGTGGTAACCACATGGCAGAAGACGCCTCAGAAGAAGTGGAAAATCTTTCCTCACTTCTCCTTCAATGCTCGCCTGTGAACCTACAGCTGCGCTCGAGAATTCGTCAAGTCCTCCTTTTCTCTCTCTCACATTCTCACATCTCTTTTCCTTATGTTTAATTTCTTTAAAAGAAGATAGAACTATCATCGCACAACTATTTGAATGTGGAGACAGTTAGCTACAAAATCTTTCCTAACCAAATACCAAGATCACCCAATGATTCAGGCAGCAAGATTGGCAGAAGAGGCGAAACTCGCAAGGTTTCTAAAGGAGAAGGCTCAGGCAGAAGCACGAACAAAGAGGGCAGAATCTAGATCCCCTCAAGTTAGACAACTCCAGCTCACCCAACCAGAGGACGACGTTGGTTTGCAACCCACCCCTAGATTCACCATCACCACGAGCACTTTAGCCTTGACTGAGGCGAGCCAATCGAAGAGATCAGGGAAGAAGTCCAAGCCTGGTTCTAAATCGGGCTCAGATGGATCGGATGGCAATAGCGAATCTTTGGAGACTGAGAAAGAGGACGGAGAGAAAACAAAAAGCAAGGAGAAGAAGAGGAAGAAATCGAAGAAAGGGAAGGGTAGATTAAAGAAGTCCTCATCAGTATCATCATCGGACAAGGAAGAGGTTAATTTGGGTGCAGATGAGCTGAGAGGTTTAATTGAGAAGAACTTTGGTGAGTTACCCATTACGAATTCACCGATAAGGAAGATTCCCATGTCTCTAGCTTCATCCCATCATCCCCAAATCTCCAACCCCCTATTTATTTTACATCCCTGAATTCCCCTTGTGGTTCAATGTTGTCATAGCTCCAGCTAGTCTGTGGTAGCAAGACGGACAATCTAGTGAACCTCTGCACACCACAGCTCCAGAACTCTTTCTGTTGAAGCTTTGGAGCTCCCGATTATCATCTGTGGAAGCCTTCTTTCCTCCACAACACCTAAGCCTTAGAGCAATTCCATCCTTTCGTATGTTTCCTGGATTGCTACATTGAGTACGCATCCTAGCCGTCAATCCTAGACACGCTCCTCGTTGAAGTTGCAGCAAACCTTCTTGTTGGATTCAATCTCCTGATGCTGCATGATCCAGTAGAGAAAAGAATTGCTTCAGACTTACTGATTGCATTGTACCGCCTGAATTTCCCTTCACCAGTTCCTACGTCGAAAGAGAAGTCTACTTTGACTTTGTTGCCAACTCAGACAGACCAAATGGACGGGGATGAAACTAGCCATGCCATACTAGATTGCCTAGCGGATGCCATTTGAGCGGAAAATCTCATGTCCGTGAAGTCTTTGAGAGATAGGTTGGCGGTAGCCTTGGCGAAGGAAGAAATGGCTAGGGCTGAAAAGTCAAAAGGGAAGAAGAAAAGGAAGGAGGCGAAGTCAGAGAAGGATAAGGGCAAAGCGAAGGCAAAAGACAAGTCTTCCGGGAAGTCTCCTAAGAGAAGGAAGACAGACAGGAAAGAATCACCTTCATCTTCATCGAGTCAATCAGACTCCTTGGAATCAGAACCCTCAGACTCTAGCCCAGATCCGGGGAAAACTAGACGCCACTCCCAATCCTCCACTTTGAGCGACTCCTTGTCAACCTCTTCCTCCTCGTCGAAGACCGACTCTTCCGATAACCTGTCAAGCTCCTCTAGTAGTGATAGCTCTGACTCAGATTTGGGTTTAAAATTTAAAAGAATGAAAGCATTGTCTTTCGACCTGCCAAACCTACCCGAGAAGTGGCAAAAACCTTTCAAGAAAATGAATCGCTACGTACCTCTATCAGTTTTCAAACGCTCTTACATAGAAGCGCATCACGCGGCAGGGGCCTTTGGTTGAAAGAAAGGACAAGGCCATTGGTCGGAAACCTCCGAAGTTGATCTAGAACGCCGGATGGGTTATGGTGAATTCATTTTGGCCTGTGATTTAGAAGCAAGATACGCGAGAGAACTGTATCGACACAAGGCCTATGCTGAGTACATCGCCAAACACAAAACTATAGTAAGTAATTTGATGATCAAGCATAAATGTTGGATGGTTGGCCTCAGATATCATCTAGCGATCAGGAGTTTCATCTTCAGAAATAGGTCGGGGGTGATATATGACAAGAAGAAGAAGGGGAAGAAGGGTAAGAAAATAGAGAAAGTGGTGTTACCAGAAGGATTGCAAGAGGAAGCGGCGATGGTGGCAAGGTGGGAGGCTGATCTGGCGGGTGACTTGATGTACGAGGAGAACCCGTACGCTCCTGGACAACCCAAGTTCGGCCACGATTTCAAAACCGGTCAACCGATGGAACCATCCAAGTCGAAGTCCGACTGGTTTTGGAGAGGGAAAGGAAACAGTGGAGACAGTGGAGGCGGTAGTGGTCATAAACGCCAAAGGGGAGGTAACAGAGGAAGAGGCCCTAGTCAGTACCAAGCGGCTCAGGTGAATTATGTAGAACCACCGAACATACCTTACTCCCCTCAACCATACGCTGCGAATTACCAGGCAGTTCCGTCAAACCAAGCTGGTCCATCCAACCTAGCGGGTCCCTCCAACTATGCAGGTCTACGGAATGCGAGAGGTGTCAAGGTGACAATGCAAAAATCAAAAAACGAAAATCACAATTCCCGGGTGCGAAATTCAAAAATCAAAGACAAAACTACAGAAAATACTCAAATACAGGGCAAAAACCCCTGTACCGGAGTAAAAGTCATGGCAGAAACCCCTTTCAGACCAGCTTACGGCCCAAATTTCAGTAGATTTACAACTTGAAACTCAACATTTGTCACCCCATTGTCGCATTGACACAAAAAGTACCAGGAAACCACAAAAGAGGACATCAAAATTCAAAAATCAAAAAATCAAAAAATCAAAAGTAGAAAATCAAAAAACAAATGTTGATAATCAAAAAACGACAATTAACAAACCATAAACAAAGACCCCAAAAATGAAAACTTCACATTAGATGATGAAAAGTGTACCTCTCTACCTCTACCTCTCAACCAATCACACAACCCACACACCATCACCGATCATCTTAGTCATTCCTCCAACTTTTGTTATAGTCTCCACCCATCCACTTGTTCAACCAAACCTACACTACACTGAACCTCTTTGATTGTCTCCACTCTTCTTCATCCTTATTTGATTGTCTCCACTCTTCTTCATCCTTATTTGATCGTCTTCACTCTTCTACACTACACTGAACCTCTTTGATCGTCTCCACTCTTCTTATTCTTGGATCAGCTTCACCCTTCTTCAATATTCTTGTATCGGCTTCATTGTTCCCTAGTATTCTTCAATTCTCTTCGATCTTCTTCAATCTTCTTCAATATTCTTGAATCGGTTTCAATCTTCTTCAATCTTCTTGAATCGGTTTCAATCTTCTTCAATCTTCTTCAATCTTCTTGAATCCTCTTCAATATTCTTCAATCTTCTTGATTCGGTTTCAATCTTCTTGAATCAGTTTCAATCTTCTTCAATCTTCTTCAATCTTCTTCGATCGACTTCAATCTTCTCCGATTGACTTCAATCTTCTTTGATCGACCTCAATCTTCTTCAATCAGCTTCTTCTTTGACTTTAGTTTCTCTCGGATACTCATATTTCACTATCATGAACCGACCTACTTGTCCCTTATGTCAAAGTACTCTCCGTCAAGGCGAACACAAAATGTGTGGACCCTGCCTTGAAAACATCAATGCGGACCGAAACAAAAAGGTTCCTTCTCCCCCCCAGCAGGCACCCACCCAAGCTTCTCAACCCCGCCCTGCCAATCTCAAGGTCATCAATGCCAAAGCAGCTGTTGCAGCCCGTACCTCGACTTCCACTGGTACTCATGTTCACCAACTTCAAAGCGACAAGTCAAAGCAAGCTGCTGCCAAGAAACAAGCTAGCAGCAACTGCATGTTTAATGGTCACCCAGCAGCACCTAAACCTCCACCTTTCACTACTCACACTGGCCGAGTATGCTCTGTAGGATGGATGGTGATATACGAGACCGGCTCTTTCGCTCATGGTCTACTTCGGGGAACTTTCACTGTGGATAGGTCATCGTTGACACTCTTGGACGACACTAAGGAAGGCATCTTCAACCTGTGGGGCCACTCGGTTGACTCTCCTCTTTACCCTCAGGCACCCAAAGTTTACAACTCTGAGTATTTCAACCTGGCCAAAACCGGCCGTGGCCGGAAATCACCTGTGGTCTTACATAACAATGAAGTTTTTGCTAGATATCTTGATGACACTAAAGGAGAACCTAGCCTCGAGCTAATTTTTCTGGCTGACAAATATGTCAAAAATAATCCTTGGCTTCGACCTTCCACCAGTAAGCCGGTACAACCTCAACGACAAGCTAAAAGAAAGGCATCTCAACATTTGACTTATGAGGAGATGTTATTAGATGATGGAGATGAAGAAGCGGATTATGGTGATAGTGATAGTGATAGTGATGGTGATCTGCCTTTGAGTGTCGAAATATTCCAGCCAAGCAAGAAAGCCAGGTGTACACCTTCAACTTCAACAAAAGTCACCTCACCACGAGTCACTCGAAAGAAGGCTTCTAATTTTAAAACCAAGAATAGTACATACACACTCCTGCCACCCATCACCCCACGAAAATCTCCCCACCGTGCTCAGAGTGATGTGGCTCCTGTAGCTATGACTCATGTGATACCACCTCACCAGACAGGTAAGCTCACCGCTCTTGTTCACTACTCATTTTTGGTCTGGCTGACATGCCCTCCTTAGTACCGGCCTTTGATTTCAGAGAGGCTATTGATATCTCCGTATTTGGACGAAAGCTTCCCATGGCTCGCCCTGTTCCACCTGCTGAGACTACAGACGGTTTCACCGTAGGGAAAAAATGCATTTTGACAGGAAATGCAGAAGGTAAACCTGAATGGGTGGTAACACCGTATCATTTCAAAGTTGATGAAAGTGTGGTGATTGGAAAAGGTTCTTTCAGGACATGTTACAATGCCTTTGGAAGAACACCTGGTGGAGAGCTCACTCCGATGGTTGCCAAGAAGCGGAGGGAGCTGCCTCCCAATATGACTCATCTGGCTGTCCATAAAGAATCCGGTGGAGTGTATGCTGCTGTTTCCATGGTGATTGAAAATTTTAAGAAAGCCGCTTTGGGTCTGAATGAAATTCAACTTTTCCCTGCAACGGTTGAAGCTATCCAAAACATTCGTGTGAGTCAAATATATGGATCTCATTTTATTCAAGCTTTCTCGATAACATGTTTTTATTTTCCAGATGGTTCAAAACTTTCCGGTATATGCAGGAAGCAGTGCTACGACAGAATGTGCTTATTTCTTTGAAGAAGTACTTGATGTTACACAATACCGCAAGTATACCAGCAATCACAACTTTGAACTCCGGCCTTCAGACAGTCCTTTAGTCAATGAAGTAATGCAAGCTCTCAGTCATTGGTCTCATAAACACTATGGCGGAAGAAGAATGGTTGCGGATCTTCAGGGGGTAGGTTTGGTATTGACAGACCCTTTGATTGTGGATACAAGCAAGTAAGTACTTTTCTGCTTGCATTCCAACATTTTGCCTGACGGTTTGTTTTGGCCCCAGTATGGCTTGGTGCGACGGAAATACTGGAAGGAAAGGCTTGGAGAACTTCTCTACCCAGCACGAATGCAACAAGATATGCAAGCACCTGGGGTTGCTACCGCCAAAGGTAGCAAAATTAAGTCTACGGGAGGAGATGGAGCTGTTGTATGGAGGTAAGTCTGGGGAACAGACTCATATTCCAGCAAGAGATTAGCACAAGGCGGAAATTCAGGAGTATATTCTTTCCTTTCAATCTGTATTCCAAAATTTGTTGCTCTTAAAAAATTCAAAAATTTACAAAAACCCTTTGCTCACAAAATTATCTTCTTAAAAACAAAAAAAAACATGTATATATCATTTTAAAAATCTGAGTGCTGAACCTTTTGTTTCCTTATAAGAAGTAATCTTATTCTGAAGATGGTCCAAATTGGCCCGTTTCCGTTGCATCTGCTTATCGTAGGTCTCTGCAAGGCCGCTGTGCAATTTTTCCCAGCTCTCATCATCCAACCCAACCCGCTGTTCCATAATCTCCTTCATTGCTGCCACCACAGTGGTACTGATCTGAGTGCTACAAGCATAAGCAAGTACATGGTCTACCGCCTTACTCTTTCCAATCCCTTTTCTTGCCTTGGTTTTTTCCCTTGTTACAGCACCCTGCAAGTATGTTGTCTTTTTTCTTTCTCCTTCAGAAAATAAAAAATGTTTGGTGTTGTGGCAAACATCTGTCGCCCACAGTAATTCTACCACATCAGCTGCATTGATGTCTACAATAAACTTGAAATAGTTACTGATGTGAATTACAAACTTGGCACCAACTTGGGGATGCTTCTTATCAATGCGGTGTCCAGTCTTCTTCTCTAGTTCAATTTCTTCCTTCCTCTCGGCCAAAAGTTCGAGTCTCCTTGCCGGAGTAATGATTTCAGCTGTAATAGATTACATATGTCAGCAGATTGGTCATAAGACTGTGAATATTAAATACTCAACATGTGTTGGCATCAATTAAGCAGAAGAAACCTGAAGCAAATCCGGTGGCATCAAAGTCACAATGAACTCCGTTGCGGAATCCTCCAGTGGTAGCAATCACATTGGATCCCACAAAAGCCTTGTCCCCAAAGACTTGGGCATTGGGTGATTTCTCCCACTCTTTGCTACCAGGCACCGGCTCTTTTGATCCCACGACGGGGCATCAGTGTCTTTGGCCAGCTTCTTGTTGGAATCATACACAAATAGAGATAATGAACATGTCCTTTCAGCATGAAAGTCCACTACCCAAGGAAGTTCATCTTGGCGGGCTTCGTCCTCGTCTAGTTTGGCTGGGTCCTCGCTGGTAGATGAATTTTGGGCATAGGTTGCTGGTGTTAAGACATTGAACAAATTAAGTTTCTGAAATGTCCTCATGTGGAAAGGTGAAGATAAACAAACCAATGACTGTTCCTCTTTGATATTGTCCAGCACGCTTAGATGATCTGTGACCAAATGCTTTCATAGTACCTTGCCGCTCGTGGGGCGGTAGCATCTTGACTGCATGATTTTCCTTGATCACTCCGCGTGCTTCAGAATGTTGATGCATGATCTTGATAGCCCTTCGAAAGTCTTTCCAAAGTTGCACTTGGGCAGGGTCAATGCTGGCGGGGTCCTGCAGCAAGAAATGTCAGCCATGTGGAAACAACAGAAAGTTCGAGGGACTTGACCTCTTTGTTGAACCTAGCAACACATATAAGCTTATTTCCAGCCAGATTCACAAGTACCACAGTTCCATAGGTCACTACTCGCTCTTTCCTGTTCCCAAATTGAGGAACTCGGAATACATCACAGTCCTCTGGCAAGCCAAACCGGTCTTTGATTCCTGCTTTGATTCTTTGACTGACATGTTCTCTTCCAACATCCCGGACTGGATCCCGTTGGGCATTGTGTTGTTGAGCCTTCTTCCGCTTTTGGTACTCGACCATCTTTTGCTTTCGGAGTTCAGATACTGGTTTGGGCATCTACAGGGAAAAAAAACATTGCTTTGATTAATGGTATGTTCAACACTTGAATATTTTGGAATGTGTGTGGGGATGCAAAGAAATAAGTGAATAAAATTTTGGTTGTATGAAATGATTCAATGTGAGATCTTATGAATGAATAATTGAATGAATAAGTATTGAGTAATTTCTTGAGGAATGAATAACAGTGAGCTGTAAATCATTTGATATAAGTTAATTTGCATTTATGATTCATTCTTTGAAGTTGAGTATTGAGATAACGGTGAGCTGTAAATCATTTGGTGTAAGTTAATTTGCATTTATGATTCATTGTTTGAAGTTGAGTATTGAGTAATTTCTTGAGGAATGAAATGCGGAAGCACCGAGATACATTTAGCAAAGGGTTAGGCTGGTAGTTGGGGTACCCCTCAGTCACTTGCCCTGCCCTTCACGAGACATAAACATCTCTGCATGTATCTCAAGTGCCACCGTCTTCAATAATTGTTCGTGAGTAAATCATGAGAGGTAAATGTTTTGAATTATATGAGTCTTCTTTTGCGATGAATTGAACAGATGTTTGAGAAATGTTGATTGATTTATTCATCTACATTCAATTAGATTCGGCTTCTTGTGGATTCTTCAAGTTTCCATTTCTTCTTGAGGATATAATATATCTTCTTATATGATCTGTCTTCATCTCAGTGAAGTAAAGAACAGACGGGAAGACAAAGGAAGAACATGGATTACCTTGGTTGATTCAACAAATTGAAGGAAGCGGACAGAACAGAATTAAATAATAATAAGATCGGAAGAAACTGGGAACGAAGGACTGGTTAAATGCTTCCACTCAAATGGTGGCTGAGTTGTGGTCAGCCATTACACGGTGTGTACACATGTAGCCTTACATGTTACAGCTGGTATGTTTACATATCTAACATGTCATCATATGGTTCACACAAGGTTGTACCACGGAAAGTTTTATTACTCAAGAACCAATGATAGTTGACATTGCTTACATAAGAGTATTTTGGTGACGAAAGAAGAAAACAAAACATAGAAGATACAAAACATTTACTCAATATCCATTGCATCTTCCTCTTCCCCTACAACTGTCAGCTTGGTGTTGTTGATCTTCACCAAAGGGATATAAGCTTTAGGAAGAATAGCACAAGTCATACCTGGTACCTGCACCGACCAATAGTATCCAATGTTGTAGGCCAGGCATATGGCCAGCTGAATCTTTTGAACCTTGACTTCACCAAACACTGATTTCCCTGGATGAACTGACCGCTTGTGAGGGAAATAGCCTTTGACCAAAAGTCCCATAATGTAATCATGAGTCCGGCACCAAATCTTCTCCTTGATCTGAATCTTCTCCAACTTTTGAATTTCTTCCGCAGCCTTGATGATTGCCATAGCATTGCCCACTGGCACATGCTTATCTCTTGAAGCCAACATTAATCCTCTAACACCACTAGTTATGAAACCGGCCAAGGAACCCCATGCAAACCCAACCTCCTTCAATTCGTCAATCTTCTTATTGATATCTTTTTTGATTTGTTTTTGCTCCGTATCAGTTGCTTTTTCAGGAATTTTTGAATGTAAATCCATTACAGCTAGCCCCATTAATACATCGTGAACACTGACTGAAAAGTTTTGAAGATTATTCAATGTACCGGCTTTGACCACTGCTGATTCGTGTGCAATTAATTGAGATCCTGACAAGCCTGAAGTAAGTAGATTTTCTCCGCCACCGCTGGAGCCTAAGGTTGGACAAGTTAATAATAAATGAGAAACAAATCTATAACTATTTTCATAAGGAGTAGCATCCGGGTTTTCTTCAAAGGTATTCTTGTGAATGACTTGATCCCCAGCCACCGCAATAGCATCTTGAAATAAATAGAAACCTCTTGACGTTTCTTTTTGGAAGGACATCCAATAGGCCGCACAGTCCGCCATACGTGAAAAGGCCATAACTTTGTATCCAGGTCCGGATTGAAAGAATCTCGAAACAAAGAAGCGCTCCATATTTCGGAGCTAAACAGCAATTCACCTTCAGCAGGTGTGAAGAATTGAAGTCCTGTGACAAAAGGGTATGTCAGTTGATTTATTTTACCAAAGTTCAATAAATCATATGCACTAACCTTGCTCATTAACAAATTCAAGCCATGCTGAATTGGACATCTTGCTGCCCGAAAAACACGTTCCCGGAGGTAATTGGAAAGATGGCTTTTCCAAGAGAGGAATATGTTCAAGCCTCATGGTGATCAAGTTGAAAGCACTGTCTCTACCTTTGGCAAAGGTAGCTGAAGACATCTTTTTGGCCGGAAATTCGGTGAAACTTTGACAGAAAACATCTTGATGCTTCAGGATAAATTCCGTCTCCGAGATTGCGGGAGGCAAGTTGGCTGGAATAGTTGCCACTTCAGTTGAGTCAAAGACTGGAATGTCTAGATCCATTTCGTCTTCACATGGTGTGACTTGGACATTTGTGTCTATGAGAGACGAGAATGGTCAAAAAGAGAGGAAAAGTTAAAATAGTGTTTTCACAGAGTTCTTACCCTGAGTATGACCTGGCCGAATGTAAAATACAAACTGACCAATTTGGTTCTTGATGAGC